GAATTTCGGCTCGTGTCAAAGGAATCTGAGGTAGTCTCTCTAGCAGCACGCCTTTGCCTGACTTGCTTTCTTGGGGTAGTGTGGGGAATGGTATGAGAGTGATTTCGGGCCAAGGAGAGCAAGGGGAGTGATATTCAAGCACAGGAGAAGGTGAACAGAGCTTTAGATGTAAAGCTGTGGAGGTGACCAGAGGAGCGATTAATATGAGCTTTGGAGATATTAAGTTAATATTATGATCTATAATATTGGAGTGACTACCGTAAGAGGTTTTACCCTCAGATATCTTCAGTTCATTGCATTAACTGAATATCTCTAGAGGTAGAAGAGACTGCATCTATAGACAGGAATCAATCCCAGTGGAATGAATTTAGAAATAATACAGAAAACGCGTCGTTGTCCCAGAATGGCGATATTATCATGTCGTGAGTATGTCTAGATCACCAGTAGACCCCCAAGATAGCTGAGTATAAGATAAAATCATACAAATATCATAACTTTCAATATATCTCGAGATAAGCGCCAAGAGTAAGTAATATTACTCAAAATTGAAGTGACTCTGTATTAAATAATACGAATATTTGAACCAAAACGAGATAGTGCACGAACAGTGTAGCAGGTGCAGGACATTTAACAATTTGGACAAGACCATCTATAGGTTGGTTAGCACCGCCTTGCAACTGAGGTCAAAAGTCTTTCTTTTTTTTGAGTCATTTAATGTGTATTCAGCTATCTAGCTATGACACATGACCGGTGCTATGTATACATATGGGATGACTCTTTTGACGTTAGAGACACTCATACTCTGGATATCATTTGCAAATACCACTATGAGGTATGTTCGCTTACACAAACAGTCGACCCTCCTCTGTTAGTACCCACCAAAGGAAAATTAAAAACCTTTGGTTATCCAAGCATGCCTTCGTCATCCATGCATACCAGCGCCGCGAGAAATGTGGTTGTGTTTTGCTGGATTTGAACCAGCGATCTACTGTCTCAAGTGGGATATGTGTCCAAGCAATCCAGACTCTACTTGGCAGACCGGCTGTTATGAATCTACTTATTGGCAGATTTTCGAAGCTGTTAAGCTGCAGAGGTCGAGTCGATTTCGACGAAGACGAATTATCGAAGGTTCGAGGCTACAAAGTTACAAAGGTCGAAGGTCGAAGATGCAAATGTCAAATGTGCGAAGGTATGAATGAAGGTAATCGAGGCTCGGATTATCAAAGTTACGAATTCATATGTTCAGATTATCATATTATCAATATATCTAGTTCCCAATAAGCAAATTATACAATAAACGTAAAAGTAACAAAATTGTTAGAACTAAAGAACAAATCCAAATGTCCAGTCTGAAAAAATCCAAATCCCGTAGCCTCAGACCTAACCGAATTAAGAAGATAACCCCTGCATCACCACATCCAGACTAAATATAACAAATTCATAACACCAGCCAAGACAATGTACCACCGCGCCATCCAACCATGGCGGTGTTTATAGTGTCGCCTGCACTCTCGCATCCGAAGACTTGGCACGCACAAAGCTCAATTTGTAAAAACTCCTTTCCAAAACTCAAAATTCCACGCCCGTCGAGACTGTATCCAATCCTCTGCATCATCTTATCAACTTGTCCAGATCCCTCTCACATCCATCCCAAGGAATTGTCTCCCAGATTTGTGCGCCACTCTTTGCTTCCTCCGTCGGGTGTAAATATCGGCGTGGGCGTGTATCTGGCAATCAGCTAAGGCCAGAGAAAGACGAAAAGAGGTGTGGTCATTGGAATGAGGATGTACTAGGTCGTACTTGTAGACTTGATGAGGCTTAGGTAGGAATCGATTTTGTTGGGAGTGAAAGATTGATATGGTGGAGTATTTTGAATCATTGCCTCGTGGGCCAACTTGTTCGGTATTGCAAAGTTTGACTGAACTCGGCTCTGGGAGAATATTTCACTCCCAGGTTCGTAGGGGACACTGCGTACAGGTGTTCAGTCTTGCCCTCCGAGGTCGAAAGTCATCAATACTACTACCAAAGTGAAACTAAGTTCTAGTTTTGAAGTCAAGTGTGTGTCAGTAAGTGGCCTATTGTTGGCCAATTGAGAAAGTAGAGTCAGGAGGGTAGTATAGAACGGAGAGTCATATACCGTGTATGAAGAAAGTATGTACGATCCATGGAATACGAAATACTTTAGTTGTAATATCTACTGATGATGATTTATTTATCGTGCCACGCTTACACCCTCCATCCAATGGACATGACACCCATGGAGGACATCTAGAATACAAGTCCCTCCATTCTCCAGCAAAGCCCATCCGGTGCCTGGCTTTTCCAAATACGTGCCTCACGCTAGTTACATCGGGTCGAATAGGTAGGAACGCATTCACCATGATCCTAAGACCATGTATGGAGGGAAAACCTTCGTGGGAAAACCTCAATAATTCCTCCTGTACTCTTTCACAACGAGCAGCCGTAGTCCCCCCTTAAACAGGACGTGTAGGAATCCAACCTACCACTTCTAGAAAGCACATCCAGCACCCGACCAACTGTGCCAACAGCCTGTTGAAAATCGCATATTGTTCTTCCCAAATTCTCCCCTGCAATGCGCTCAACCCCCATTTGAGAGGGCTGAAATTCCGAAATCGAGAGCTCAAAACTGAGGCATCGGTGCCCCATCTTTTGTCGTACATTGTTCGTTGTCTGAATGAGGCTTCTTCGTTCGCACCGTCTTTGGAATGTGTCGAAAAGTTGAGAATGTTGATGTCGCGGTCGAGGTGCTTGTCTAAAATGAGGCCGAGCAATTACATTGGCACCACTGGAAGGTGAAGAATTCTACTTTGCCGGCAATGTCTACTGATGATTTGGACAGCTTTCACTTTACCAAAAAATTGACAACACAGAACTTCCTGACACCTAGTTGATTAAAAAATTGATTCCAATTTGTAACAGAATTTAAATTTTACGGCCCTGAAAGATATTCATAAATTATTGTGTGTGACGGGCTGTGCCCGGATTGGGACTGGTCACTAGGACCACTCCGTCTCCAAGGTAAGGTAGTGGCAAAGCAACGCTCCTGGATAGACGAAAGGGGACTTTAAGGGGGTATTAAAGGGGGTACGTGCCAGGTGGGGGAGTCCGATACAAGGAAGAGAGCCAGGGAGAAAGGATGATTCTCAGGGGCCAAGGAATATAGCCGGAAGAAAGGATTAATTCTCATATGGCTAAAGGGGGGAATTAATACTAGCGTACGCGAAAGACATAAAGGACAGGATACAATACGGTAGTTTAGTTTTCCCCAAGGAAAAATTATTCATTTCCATTGTGTTAACGACTTCAAGTACTTCTGATTTCCTTAAACCTTTACATTGTGATTATTTAACAAAAATTATACCAGAAAGAGACAGTTAGATGACACCCCTAATCTACTCTAGCAGCGTCTCACAGTCTCAAACAGGACTAAAATAAGATTTTCCGATCTAATTTCTAAAGGTAGTCACAACTACATTCTCGTCAGATGGTAAATTCAATAGGATACAAAGACCAACCTTATGATCCAAATTGTAACCTTAGTGTTACAGGCTGCGCCTGTCTCTTAGTGACTGTCACACGGACACTCATCATTATTACGTCATTAGCCTTGCTATCTAAAGAGATGTCCAACTTGGCCATACAAATACAGTGTTGCAACAAATATGGAAACAGGATATTTTTGCAGAAAGTCTCATATGGAATCATGGGCCGACACGACCTAGATTTGCTATGACAAGCCTACTCGGAATATTAAGGATATGGTGTGGTAGAACAGATAGTGAAGTTAGCACATTGGGAGTTGAGACACCTTAAGTAGCCTCCCCTCGGTGGACAGTTCCGAGATGTATGTAGAAAATAGACAGTAATCGGCCACCATTCCTTTAATGTATTGTTTTGTTGATTGCCCATCACACTTAGTGCTTACACGGAAAATGTTTAAATATTTTCCTGTGACCAACTCATACCATGCCCTATCGTTTTCGTGATTTGAAAGTATTATTTAAGATTGATCTTTCTGGGTAATTGAAGATTTTTCAGTGAGGCTTGTATCAAGGGGAATTACATTCTTGCTTCATCGCAAATTTATCTTACCTATAATCTGCTGGATAGATTTATTGAACGCCTCGATCATTTCATCATACTTTGGACTATAGTCATAAGGTGTTGTATAATTCAGGCCAATCTCACCAAATAAAATCATTTTTAAGCTCCTTGCTAGGTCCTTCAGGCCCAAAAAGCTGGATGTGAAATCACCTAAAACTAAATCTTCGAAGCAGAGATATAACCTAACTTCGATTTGTAGTTACTCGCTATATCTTCTGTGCACCACCTGTCAAGGTTACTTGATTTGGACACAGGGACAACTTCATATTCTATGCATCCAACAAGGAATACATAGAAGAAGGATTCCAAGTCGTGCCAAATGGTTCGCTGGATTGTAGGCTCCTTTTTTACCGCAACTTTTAATCTTTCTATTGCCATGAATTTCATAGTGCCTATTAGAGACAGATTCTCATCCGTTTTCAAACTTTCGATTAGCCCGATAGAGTGGTCCAGGTCAATCATCATCCCCTCTGATTCATCACCTACAGTTGGTGATGTCAAGATGATGTTGCCTTCCGAAATGTCGCCGTGGAGAATTCCTCAATCATAGAGGCGTCGGTGACCCAAGATTGCATCCCGAATCCCGACAACAACTTCCAGAATCGTCTTGCTGGTCTTCAAGAGTTGACCACAAGGTGTGATAGCAATTCTGATGAGTTTACGATCTCTGTCCCATGGGCTCACAGTCGGTTACATCAGGTGCGTACCCCTTGATATGATTAGCGTCTCTGTCTTCAAGTTCCAAGCATCAACATCTGTAAAATCTAAGTTTCCTAAGTGTTCACTGGTCCGATAGATTTCATCCGACGTTAAGTAGTTCACAACGCCGCGTACTGGAAGTGCGACTCTGAGGAAATCAATTTCCGAACACCCCTTCACACTGGTAATTTGTTGATGGTCTCGAAGCAGGTAGTACCTCGAGTTATTGTTATGCTCAGCTATGTAGTATGGTAGATCTAGTAGCTGGTGCATAGGTAGTTATTATGGCAGCATGGCATCATGGCACATGAAGGAGATCCAGTCTCTACATAACGACATTACAAGTAGGAATGTGTGCAGTATGAGAGATGGGTTGTTGATATAGGATAAATGACATGGCTGCTCAGTTGGTTGCACACTTTGGCTAGCTGCATACTGGTAATGTGATCGGTCTACAAGAGAACAAGCTAGGGGATAAGGGACGAGCTTCCCCCAATCTGTAACAGAACAATTATCATAGAAACTTCACTTCTGCACACTAACGAAAATATCTCTCCACATACTGTCTTAGCTGTTCCAGCGCAAGTGTACATTCCCATTTCATAAACCAAGTAAAGCAGTTATTAGTCTCTGGGGTCGGACAATCAGCTCAGGGTCGATCTTAAATTGCATGGTGGGATCATCATTGCTTCCATTTATTGTGACAACTACATTTTCGCCGACTTGACTAGTAGACAAGTCAAGGCCAAGTTCTTCATCGCTCATTAGCAAATACGAGCTTATGGCCCGAACAAACATCTCCTTTTGTTGTGAAGTAAGATGGTCAGATCACGTGGTGTTAGCGTTGCTGGGACCTTTCACTTATATCTCTGTTGGTCAGACTAGCATGTAGAAGTAGTCGATCTAATATATACCCATTCAATACCTTTTTGCTGAAAATGCTTTTTACGCCTGAGCTGTAGGCACCTGTGCAATAAAATATCCATAGTTCAAATTTTTTTTCAAGAAGATGAAGCAATGTACAAATAGTTGCAAGGGCTGTGCACAAAATATTTCGCAAACATGCCTTGACAGTTGAGTGAATTTTGCTTTCCTTGCACTTGTGTCGGTCTTTTTTGTGAACTTGGCAACCACCCTCACGTCCTTCCATTGCGGCTTCTCCCTAGATAGCTCGCAGCTTCGAACAATGAAGTCGGCTTGAGCGTCGGCTGCCGTACTGATCGTACTATTCATAGCTCTTGTGTTGCAATACTTGTTGCGATTTCATGGTAAGAGGAGCAGAAAGTATAGCTCAAAGAATATTGTTTCCATTAAAGTTTTAAGTTACATGTAAAACGCGAATTTATGTGCGCATATCCTAGAGTTAAAGTGGGTATGCGAACAACAATTATTACAGTGAAAATTCTTCAGCACAACTGATCACGAAACCATTGTGCGGGGAATAAAATAGTACTGACCCCGCACCATTAACGCCATCCTATTTGTCGCAAAGTAAACGTGACCATATCTCTCACTGCATTTGCATATAATATCATATTACCCCCCACATGCAAATGTATGAGAGAATATCTCAACAGCGAAAAGAAACTAAAATGTAGGATACAGGATGTATTGTACAGCATGCAGGAAAGTTGTTCATATTTGCAAGGAATGCCAATTATCGTAAGGAATGTGGCAAATTCCAACAATACTGCCCACGAATTTGGGGCGCATTCGCTTCTATAATGACTTTGCAGTTATTCAATGGTTCTTCTATGTGCCCATTTAGCTGATTTAAAAATTTCTCCCTGAAAAAATCAAGCCATTCCCACACTTGTGTCTCAGTCATTTTTTCTTTCACAATTATAATACTTTGATTTGTCTCCAATCCTTTACACTCCTCAGCTTTTTTGTAAGAGTTGTAACACTCCCAAATGCGTGAGGTCTGCTTGGGCCAAGCTTTTCCTTCAATCAATACATTCCAGAAGTTTGAGATACCTGAGTAAACATTGTCTTGAAGCTCGTATTGAACGGCTTTGGCGAGGGTAGCTGCGGTCATGTCAAAGCCTGATGCCTCTAATGTATCTCGCTTAATGGTCTCGGCGCAGGTACTTGATACTGATGGAAGTTTTCCACCACTTTGAAGGACAGTCACATCGTGACATGCGGTCTCAGCTAGGCGAATGGTATTTCCTAGTATATGACTGAAATCATCCTCACCCGAAATTTCCTAAATAAGTTGATCAAATCGTTTAATTGCGACTAGATTCTGTTGAATTGCCATCTTGGTATCACAAAACAGGTCACTTAGTTTGGACATGTCATTATTATCTAAACCATACGTGTATTGAAATAAGTCATTAAAGTATATCAAGACACCTATTCTGTCAGCCGAAGTAGTCCAGCTTGTAGATGATTAACACTAAATTTTTTATCCTCTGGCTTGTAGTTATTGCGAAATTGCTTGAAAATGTGTTCGATTGAGACCTTGTTCTGATCCGCGAACATTTGTGAGTATTGAGACATATTGCAAGATGTTGTCGTGAAAGGTTTAATTTGTGGAGGAATGTTTGTAACAAGCAGAAGACGAAGTGAGGAATTTGGAAACTGATGAGGTCTAATGATGGTGGAAAAATTGACACTATATACGCTTTAAGTTCACGTGACAGCGCAGCACAATACCTCCTTGCATCATCAAGCATACTTTGCACCATTGATGGATGCTTCAGGAGGGCACGACTGAACACATGTATGCGGTGTCCTCTGCAAACCTGAGAATTAAATATCCTGCTAATGCCAAATTCAGTCAAATTTCGCAATGCAACAGAAGTTGATCCACGGGGCATTGTTTTAAAATACTCCAACATGACAAATATTCACCCCCAACGAGATCGACTACTACGTAAGTCTCAAGAAATGTTCAAATACGTCCTAGTACATATTAATTCCAATGATCTCACCTGTTATCGACCTTCTCTAGCTTATCGACATTGAAGTTGTTGTTGACAGTTTCCGGGCTCATAACTTATCGACTTTAAACTTTGTTGTCAATATTGTATATGTCTGTCTGTTATCACAGACATTGGAAATAATTCATGAGATTGCTTAATGAGAGGCTAGTATTGATTCCGATATAATATTGTAGAAGACTTGTCCCAACTATCAGAGGGCTACAACGTCTTTATCTATCTACAGGTAAATTTCCCATATTCCAGCCATGCTAGCCATACAGGACGTAGCATGTAAAACCTGATTCGTATCATAATTTTGGGGTTGAGGTTTACTGTGCATATGCTACTCGAGTCGCATGTCTGACTACTATGCGACATGCTTAGGTATCAATCTAACAACCCACACCAAAACTGAAACTACTCACAACCCTGATGATGACCCCATGAATAATTGGAACAGTAGCCTGTAACACAGCACAATTTGGCTAGAAATCGTTGACCAGGACCTAATCCGAACACTAGCAATAGGATGTCACCAAATACACGCCCATGCCGATATTTATATCCGCAGAAGTAAGCAAAGTGTTACTGTTTGATCCATGGGGGACTATGCTCAACACCTATCAGTGGTGTCCCCTACAAACCTCCAGCTCTCACTGTAGAGTCTACAGAGCCGAGATTGAGTAACACCACATTTTCAACTTCGAGCTGAGTTATCTCCCCCTCTGTTAAAGATACGCTTCCGATAACACATAAGACGACCGAAACGACGATAATAATGCTGGGAACGAGGAAAGATAATGCAGTACCAAATGCTACAACAGTAGTCAGAGAAGCCCTCGGTATATCACAACATGTGCCACCCACTGGCCGGCGAAAAAAAAGCCCACAAAAGCAAAGTAAAAGACCCTTCCGCCCTCAAGAAAAGTAGATTTTGACACGTCAGAAAGATCGTCCCTTCTAATCTTAACTTCGAATCTACTAGCCAGGAGGGCATCTGAAATACATGATTCACTCTACAACCCTACGTCCGTATAGACTTTTGGATGCTAGGCTAGGCTCCTTCACTGCAGTCACTCTCCACCAAGACTTTTCTGACATACTTTCACGACCTTCTGTTTGTCCTGCGGCATGAATCAGGGAAAGAGGAAAGAGGAAAGAGGAGACCAGTAAGTTTGAGAGAAGCTCTTAGGTATACACAGGTCTGCAGCGCCCGGCTGGCCGGCCTCTTCGTCATAGGGGAGTCCCGCACCCAGTGGTCTTTGAGACTTTTCCCTGCAGCTGCACACCCGCAAATAGCCATCGTTTCGTTGGCTGGAGAGGGGAGATAATGACGGGAAAACGGCTCCTCTTAGTGTGTACTAGAATGAAGACCTGCGGGAGTATTACTGCTGGAAAGAAGTCGAGAAGGAGGTACAGGAGGGAGTACACTATCCGAGGCATAGATACTCCTGGCCTGTAGGCAGAAAGTACCTACATGAACTTAAATAGTTACGACTCATTAGGTCCATAAATACTCACTCACTGTTTGATCTATGTTTGAGCTTAGGCAGTCACAGAGATGTAGCAGGTTACGTAATGTAGTTATGTTATTAGAACTAGTAGCGCGGTGGTCGTGTATGAAGTTTCCGAGCGCGCATTGTATACTTAGTAAATGGTGTGGTGGGCATAAGAATGAAAGGGTATCACGGGGTGTTATTATGGTTATACGTTATGGGGTATAATTGTGATACCTGAGGTGACATGCTGGCTACAGCACGTGTGTGGGTTCTAAGAGATGCGATGAGTAACTCACGTAATAAATGGAGAAAGATAATATAAGAGTAAGTGGATATATGAATGTAGGTGTGTGTAATAGTCCTAATGACAGGTGTGTGTGTGTGAACTATGTATCCTACTAACTATTACAACCGACCTCAGGTTGACACTAAAAGACTCCCTCGAAATATAAAAGAGTAATTGCTTTGTATTTGGACCTAAAGCTACGCATGATAACTATAAGAAAAGACAAGGAGAGAAAGAGGTCTGCAGCCTCGCTGGGCTGAAAACTCCACCAGCTCGCTTCCGGGACCAACGCTTACTCAACCAGAATCCAAATCACGTGATACAATAAACCTATCATCTGTAAACTCAAGCCATAACACTAACTACGTACTAGAGAAGAATAATGTATTCTGCACTATGGTGGTCGAGCCAGTCTCTCAGTGCTTTTTCCTTACAATGTTGAGCCCAACATTATTGTGCGTACCCTTGACTGTCCACAGTAAGACTAGTGTGTTTCCATATCATAACAGGTGTCTCGTGGCTCCTAGCTACAACGGATCTTGTGTAGAGCTTGAGACTAATACGTGAATTCTATATCCTTCAAGTGTCAGATGTCTATGTGTCTATATACATTAATTACTCCTTACTCCTCAAAGCTAGTAGATCTACTGCTGTGTTCGCGGGCTGTGACCGCGGGCTCTGACAGTGCGATTTCCTGTGCGTGAGGTCATAGGATAATTACAATTACGTGTGTGCCGTGTTTCCTACATCTAGCTAATTTGTGCCCTGTAGATCTATTCGGGATCCACATGTATTTAACTGTTGTAGACAGAAAACAATAGAGTACTTGCAACCTCCCACAGCTCCAAACCCCAACATATTTCTGGTGACCTACGAAGTGAACTCTGGAGTGGCAGTGTACATAGGTCGTAAGCAACGAAGTTAGATAACGCCCACTTTTCCACATGCTGTAGAACAAATTTTCGTTAAAAACATCTAGAGGACTTGAGGCGAGATTCTGTGAACAACCTGCAACATACCGTCGAATTGTCAAATGAATCACTTGACTCACGGAAACACAGTCATTCTTCTCCTAGAGAATTAGCGATCATATTTTCCTCCTTTGGTGCAGAATATCATTTCTTGCAAAAACTCTTCATCAGTATAGTACGGTGTTATATTAACTAGGCTATATGGGAGCAGGACGATGGATACTCTTGGGGAAGTTATGCTCACAGTAGGTCTCTATAGTCGCTGTCGCGTGTGTTCTCGTGATATGTAAGACTTGACTCTATATTCTCGTATAAAGGAAACTTAGTTACGATGAATGGATGGTGGTTGAGACCTCCTTATATCTTGCTCCAGACTTACTGTGTTGTTCACAGCCTAGTGCTAGAACATTCCCTTATGATATTATTTCTCTCCTACGAGAAATGACCAGCTCGTTCTCTCTCAGTCCATCAGTCTCTTGCTGATTCTGTTATCTCTATTCCATCTAGTTCTAGTTTGGTCCAGTATACCCACACATGCATTACACACTAAACACCCCACAGTTTAGTTCCACAGTCACGTGCATATGCTATGACGCAACCTAAAGCATGAATCATGGTAAGCTACATGGATAACACAACATACGGTTTCAGAAATTAGGAACACATCTTTGCACAACTTAGATCAATCCTTGGACTGTTATTTCGAACAATTATCTAACAGTATATAGGACTCTTGTTTGAGATAAACCACAAAAAATCTGAGAGTCGACAGTTTTTTATTTTTATTTAACTTTTCTCTCTTTTTTACTTGGTCCTATCTATTTGTTCTGGCAAACTTTCGAGGGACACGCTCATTGAAGATTGCTAGCTTTGGTACCTCATCGGAATCATTTGAGGATTTTTTTAATTCTGTAGAAGCTACTGAGTTTAATTTAAGGATCCGAGAACTGCTTATCCAACCTATCAATCCACACCATCTTTGTCCTCAATCTCTTGAGCATATCCTCCACAGAGTTCAAAACATGACTAATAAAATGGCCACAGTTAACATAGATTTTGTCGAGTCGTTTGATGGTACGCAGACAGAGCGATTTTTCCGCTTACTGCATGACGCTTTCAATGAATCTGGTGTTGAATGGATATCTGCACAATTTGTCAAGGCAATCGACAGAAGAAGTAAAGGTGCAGCGTTAGACGTGCTAGAACGAGACGCGAGATGCTATCAACTGATGAAAGATACAAGAGATCCACTAAAGGCTATCTCAATAGAAGATATCAAATACATTGAGCTCCACTTACTGAAGCATTTTCCAGCCAATGAAGTGAAGAAAGTGGCTCCGGATGGACTTGTT